CACAGCTGGGAACTACGTGCAGTTCATTGTGAAACTGAGAACCAAAGCTCTTTCACAAAGTTAAACTATTATTTTTCCCTTATCAGTAGATGATTCGCTGCTAAATTTTATTTTTGTGTTTTGTGACGTTTTTCATAAGCTCAGTATTTCCTGCTGCATCACCTTAGGAACCTGGTCAACAAACACTGTTCTACATGGCAACACAACTTTTCTTTCCTTTTTTTTCTTGACAGCAGCCAGTGTTTTAGAAACGAGCATTTTGATTCCCCTGAGCTATTGCATCAATTGCACAGTTTGGTTGTACTTTTGGGGCCAGTCTGGATAATTATACAGTAGAGTATTAATAATAGTACAGATTGACTGGAGTTAAAAAAAAGGAAAACATATGGTATTGCAAACAGTTTTTCTGCAATTGAACATTTTACTTTAGTGCTATGAACTTAAATTTTACTGTACCTTGCTAGTACCTGGGAACCAGACAGAGAAGCAGACTAGAAGGAGAAGCAAATCTAACAAAGCTTAGTTTCATTGTCCAGGCTAAACAAATTTGAAACAAAAAAACAAGGCCTAAATGGAAGAAGGAGGATCCAGAGAACTAAAGACCAGATTCACTTCAGTCACCAGAAAAATCATGGAGCAGGTCCTCAAAGAATCCATTTCTCAGCACTTGGAGGACAAGAAGGTGATTACGAACAGTTGGCAGGGATTCACCAAGAAAAAGTCATGCCAGACCAACCTGATTGCCTTCTGTGATGAGACGACTGGCTCTGTGGATGAGCGGCAAGCAGCGGACATAATATACCTTGACTTTAGCAAGGCTTTTGATACAGTGGCTCACAGCATTCTTGAAAGCAAGCTGAAGAAGTACGGGTTGGATCAATGGACTGTGAGGTGGATAGAAAGCTGGCTGGAGTGTCGGGCTCAATGGGTAGTAATCAACGGCTCAATGTCTAGCTGGCAGCCAGGCTCAAGTGCAGTGCCCCAGGCATTGGTCCTGGGGCTGGTTTTGTTCAATATCTTCATTAATGATCTGAAAGTTGGGATGGACTGCAACCTAAGCAAGTCCATGGATGACACCAAGCTGGAGGGTGTAGTAGATACGCTGGAGGGTAGGGCTAGGATTCAGAATGACCCAGACAAATTGGAGGTTTGAGCCAGAAGAAAATCTCATGAGGTTTGACAAGGATAAATGCAAAGTCCTGCACTTAGGACAGAACAGTCCCATGCACCAGTACAGGCTGGGGGCTGACTGGCTGGGCAGCAGCTCTGCAGAAAAGGACCTGGGGGTCACAGAGGAGAATAAGCTGAATATGAGCCAGCAGTGTGCCCTCGTTGCCATGAAGGCTAACAGCATCCTGGGCTGCATTAGTAGAGCTTTGCCAGCAGATCAAGGGAAGTAATTATTCCCCTCTATTCTGCACTGGTGAGGCCACATCTGGAGTACTGTGTCTAGTTTTGGGGCCCCCACTACAGAAAGGATGTGGACAGGTTGGAGAGAGTCCAGCTGAGAGCAACAAAAATGATGAGGGGGCTGGAGCACATGACATTTGAGGAGAGGCTGAGGGAACTGGGTTTATTGAGTCTGCAGAAGAGAAGACTAAAGGGGAATTTAATAGCAGCCTTCAACTCCCTGCAGGGGGGTTGCAAAGAGGATGGAGCTGGACTGTCCACAGTGGGGGCAGATGACAGAACAAGGAGCAATGGGCTCAACCTGCAGCAAGGGAAGAAGCTGGATATTTGAAAAAACTTTTTCACTAGAAGGGTGGTGAAGCACTAAAACAGGATACCCAGAGAGGTGGTGGAGGCTCCATCCTTGGAGGGTTTTAATGCCCCCCTCAGCAAAACCCTGGCTGGGGCTAGTCCTGCTTGAAGCAGGGCGTTGGACTAGATGTGACCTCCTGAGATCCCTTCCAGCCCTCATTTTCTATGATTGTATGATTCTGATGTTGCAAAATGACCTTGATTGCTAGGAATTATAGAATGGCTTTATTTGGCTAGATTCCCTCTAGCTATTTCTTTGTGGAGCCGCGTAAGCCCCAAGCTTGATGTTGGTTCCTCGTCAAAGTGTGTGCTTGTTGGAGACCCAGTTAATTCACATGGGCCTTTGGGCAGATGCAGGGGTCTGTCTATGTGGATCCAGCCCAAAGATGCAGGTAAAACAACGCAAATCCGGTGGCGCTGATTATACTGTTCCACAGGAAGCTGCTGAGAAAACTTATATAAGGGGATTCAATAGCAATAGATTATATTTAGCATTTTTTAAAACCACAGTTTGGGATTCATTTTAAAGCCAGGTGAAAGTCCTTCACCTCTTGGTATGTTTTGCTAGGGGTGCGTTTAAGTGGGAATTTCCAAATTTCCTTCATGTGTATGATTGAATTCTTTTAAAAACTTTCCTTCCTTAGAGTATAGCATAGTTTTGGGCTCCTTCTGTCCCCCAAAACTGGAGAGGGGACAAGAAGCAGAAGGACATTTATAAACCTCATATTTTTAACAAGCTGAAGGAAATAGCTTTAGGAGGAAGGTGCCAAGATTGCAAAGATTTTATAGCAAGCAACATTTTTTGATGTGAGACAGCATCTCTTCTTCTCCGGTCCAACCCCTAAATGCAAAAATTCAAAACAAGTTTTGTGAAAAAAGCCTCTTACCAAAATGCAGTGTTTTGTTTTTTGCTTAGCTGTAACCTAAAGAGCTTTGGCTTGATAGGGTGAGATAAAGCTGTGATGTGTCTTCCAGGCCGTGAGTCATTTGCTGCTGCTGCTGCTGCTTCACTACTCCTTGCACAGCTCCTGTCATCGTACACAGCTCTCACTGGCAGTGCCTAAAATGGGAGTGGTGCCTTCTCTTTCTATCCTAAACCCAGTGCTGGAGGCACTTATGGCCCAGATGCTGTATCAGACACCAGTCTCAGAGCTGTGGCAAGTGGTTCTGCCAGGCTACTGTTTCTTTCCCCAACCCTCAAATGTCCCTTGGTTCTTGTGACTAGGTCCCTCTCTTCCCATGACACAGCAGAATAGCAGATGCAGCTTAAAAGAGATTGTTTCTGGCACTGCTCCTAGAATATTTTGTCTTGCAACCCCCATCTCCAATCACTTGCTCTTTTAAAAATGATCCGGGTATGGATCAAGGAACAGAAGGCAGATAAATGGGGTGAGCAAAGCAAAGCAGGAGAGGGAGGACTTGGATGAGTTTGGAGCTGGGGCCTGAGAAGGGCAAAAGGCAAAGCTGAGAAGAGTGCGGGGGGGACAAAAGACAGCCTGAGGAAACTGGAGTGGAAACCAAAGATGAGCACATGTGAAGTAGAGGGGGAAACTTGGGGGAAAAATACAGGACGTCTAAAAGAGAAGAAAATCTGCTGCTCACAGTTGTGAACAAGCTTTCGCTAAACATCATGAACACAGCGGTTAACACAGCTCCCCAGTTTCTGCAGCAAGCAAAAGAAGCCCCCCGCAAACCCATTACACGTCTGCGAGCACCTGTTATTAGGTCGGGCTTCGCGGTCACTCAGGATTACATTGCACACATCTGGATGGGGCTGGCGGAGAGCTGGACCCCATGATCTCATGAGGTCCTTTCCAGCCTTAAACTTCTGTGAATGTGCGGGTATTGTACAGTCACCACCATGTGACCGAAAAGAGATTCTCAGCTACTTGTGACAAGTGCAGGATCTATGTCATCCACTGAAATTCAGCAAACAAAAGCATGTGTCACGGACCCTTTATGGACTGCCTGGAAATCTGTAGGCCACTTCAAAGTTTTGAGTATGCACTAAGGGCTTAAGAGACTTCATTTATGTGCTGCTTACTCACTATTTCCTAGAGTCAGTGGGGTTGAAACGGTCACACAATTCATCCTACACATCTGCAGGGTAATACTGTAAGCAGCCGTCGCACCCACGTACGCGTGCATTAATTTAAACTCAGCCTGGTTCCATGATGTTGTGGGGGCCGCATTTGGGGACCTCATGCAGGCTTCTGCACCCCTTCAGTGCTGTGAAGCCCCACTCCTCCAAGCCCCCCTGTGCACAACCGTGTGGCGAGGATCTGGCGACAGCACGGTGGGTCCAATGCTGTTTAAATCCACTGACCATCCCCCATTTGCATGGGGGCACAGGCACAGCGAGGCTGCTTCAGCACCGAAGTCAGAACAGCAGCCTTAGAAATGCTCCCTTGCAAACCGTCTGGCCTATGGGCAGATCCCTTGCCTTCAGATCCGGGGAGTACGCAGCCTGCGTGCGAGAGAGGAGATGTGGGGGCAGCAGAATCACGTGTTAAATGGATGGACTTTAAACCATTTCACAGATTTGTCAATATTATCACCCCCCCCTCAAATATTATCTATCAAGCGAGATATAAATGTGCCACAAATGCCTTTGCAGAGCTCCTATCATTGCACAATTTGCTGGCACAGAGTTTCTCATGGGTTAGGTGGATCTCTAGTTTTTAAATATCATCAGAGCAGAAGATGCTCTTCATCACAGGATGAGAAACGTTGCTCTTTAAAATGGCCCAGAGGCGTTGCCTGTGTCTTCCAGGTCCCGGCTTGCCTGGCTTTAGGGACACAAACAAGTTTGTGTGGTGTCAGCACTGAAGCCCCAGCCTAGCTGCGGGAGCTCAAAGCCGCAGTGAATTGTGCTTGATGCATCATCTACCAACTGACCAGGGCAGAGACAGCTTGGGGACTCCCGGGTGCCGGGGAGGATGCAGCAAGCAGAAAGGAGGCAAGGTTATTCGGGATTCATTTATGAGGAGCCACAGCAGTGCAAAGGAGCCCGCTTTGGTTCGCGTTGCACGCCGAGGGAGAAAAGCAGGCACCGTCAAGCAATCCTGTCTCCAGTGCAGTGGCTTTTCTAATGAGAAGGAGCCGCTGCTCTTCCTCCCTTTGCAATGCGGACATTGCTTTATCCCCTGCCGCTGCCAGCGCCTCCTGGGCCGGGCCGGGCTGGGCTGGGAGGTCGGTGCTGGTGGTGCTGGTGTTGCTGCC